CGAAGACGAAGAAGACGACGACGTCGGCGTCGGCGTCGGCGTCGCCGGTACAACGACGATTACGACCGGCGAAGTACGACCGTTTCTTAAGGAACCGGCGAGACGCGAGAGCAGTAACACCTCTTCTTTGCCCACGCAGACGACAATCCTAAAGTTGTCGACGCGCGTTATCTCGTCCCCGCACGCGTCGCATTTCTCATCGGTTCCTTTAGGACTGACTCGCCTGTCCTTTTTCGCGGGCTGGAAATAATATAATCGGTTCCGCGTTTGCCGTTTCTATATCTCTCGAAGGAGTATTCAGTTTCGTGATATTTTCAGGCGCCGGGGATTTCCCGAGACGATCTCGTAATTTTTCGTGTATTTTTCGAGATTTTGCAAGCACATCCATCACCCGATAGTTTGACATTTCGGAAAATATCGTTTTATATATTTTTATTATATAGAAATGCAATTTTTGTACATTTTGGATAAGAAGGCATTAGAAATATTAATATCACATGTAATATCTCATTTAAAAAAAATATATATATTTTGAAATCACATTTTTCGAAAAATTGCGGATACGCCCCTCTGTCGTGAAACCCTCGAGTAATCAAATTATATACTGCACAGCATGTCGGAGATTTTTATCAAATCTCTAATCTAAACGATATATTCCCTTCATTTTTTTACGCGATCCATTGAAACTTCTCGCGAAGCGATTTCGTCGAATTTTCGCTCCGAGCATCTACAATGTATTCGTAAAGGGCGGGCTCTTGTCGCTCGTATCAAAGCGTCTGCGAAATTTATCGCTCATCGGAGCGATGTACGCGCCTATCGCGTAAGTTGGTCTAAATCCGTTACGATGAATCAACGCCGCGACCCGAGTCGGAGCAGCAACCGTAACATGCGTACAAGGACGCGTCTAGACGCACAAATCGCACGGCACCGGCAGACAGTCGTCGTCGTCGTCGTCGTCGTCACGACGACGATCTCTGTCACGGAGCATCGTCTTTGCCAGCATCTCGTCGTTTGTCCCTGTCGAATTACGACGTCCTGTACGACGGCGGTGATGACTCTTGCGCCTTGCATCTCGCCGAACTTCTCCTCCTCCTCCTCTTTTTCCTTCATCTTCCCTTTTATCGCGCGCTTCCTCCTCTTATTATCACCTGCCGATTCCTTCCGCGGCTCCGATTTCACGAATAAACACGTTACTCGCGATAGAAAAGATGGTTAATTAACATAAGATCGATAGGTTTGACAATTAAACGAAAGAGAGAAAGAGAGAGAATTTTGTGCAAAAATAGATTTATTTAAAGACGAAGATCTTTTGCTCTCAATTTTTTCTCGATGGAGATCGCTTCGTTTTTGTCGTGCAATCTTTTTTCATGAATTAATGAATAAGATTGGAAGTATTTTAGCATATTAGCGATGTCGCGAGTTCTCATAAGTTACACGGAGAAGTTTTCTCCGATTGACACGATATATATATGTAGTACTGTTTTTTTCTCGCATCACATATCATAATAAGGAAGATAAATAATGTCCCTTTTAACGAGCCATCTTCAGCGAAGATCTCAATCGCCTAAATGACCGTGGAATTTGTTTATCGCGCTCGTTTAATCATGATCGAGCATGCGAAGACAAATACTAACCCAATGGATTGTAGCCCCCGTTGTTAATAGGGTATCAATAACATCGAATTATCGTTTTATTTTTCCCATTGGCGATCCACGAACTAGGGCTTCGTAACTTGTTGCTCTGACACATGTTGACGCTCCATATACGATACATCGACGTCACGTGGTGATAAACACATCACACCACGTGTTGCGTAGTTATTTACGCATTTGAAAAAGATCGGAAAATAAAAAAGACGAATTTTTTTTCTCATCTCTCTCTAATAATATTTTCCTATATAGAGAGAGATGTATCAACAAGTATACATTTACATAATTATCTCTACTCTTTTACGACGATTTTTGTCAAAACGCACGTGTCATACATGCTTTGGATAGAATAAATACGTTTAAAAATTGATACATATATTTTACAAATGCATTTAACGGTATATTCTAAAGTTTTCATTCAGAATAATTAAATAAAAATTAAATAAAAACTTATACCTGCCGATACTTTGTTCTATGATCCATGAACTGTGCGTCAACGTTGCGACACACGTGTTTACAAATATTCGTCGTCGCTCCGAAGATGAATAAATGAACGATTATTCGATAACGTAAGCGCGCAAATTTTCGACGCACATTAAAGAGAAATCGTCTCTATTTACGATGCCAAGGAGATAAACATGAATTATGAGATTCGTATAAAATGCGATCTGTCGATTCTGATTCACGTTGCAAAAATCGAAGTAAAAAAATGGCAAATCGCACGACGATTAGTATATCAAATACCTATACTAAGGATATATCGCCCCATCGCGTGGTCTCCGAGATATTAAACTTTGCTATGCATTTAAGGCGGCGTCCGCTAGTCAATTTAATTGTATAAACTATAAACTATATATATATATATTTTGCGCGTGTTATATGTATATTTCGCACAAGACTTTCTTATCTTATCGGCAAATTCCGAAGAAAACGTTAAAGGATTAGAGGTAATTTTTTTTTCACAGCTGATTTGGTAGCTCCTTTTCTAGAAAAGGAAAAAGAAAAAAAGATTTATACATTTAACAGTACATAAAATTTTCATGAGATATTCCTCAGATTTTTAGAGACGATATGTTGTAAATAAATGACATTAAATGGAAAAATTATAGTTTATTTGTTGCTTCGTTACTCGGACGAGATTGTTGAAAACATCATATGTGTAGAAGCTATGCGTAGATCTAAATTATGTTTTATAGAGGCCTCGCATACATGCGTACGTACACATACGCGCGTGTACGCCGGCATGAAATGAGTATACGCTCTCGCGAGCCTACTTCTGTTCTATTAATGATTCTAATAAAGAGAATAAACATCGCGAGAGCGTGCGCGCGCGTAGACTGCTTGCCGCCGTGAAACATCAGCGCAAGACGACCGCTATTATTAGCGAGCGACAAATTTATTTTAAGATATCTTAGTATAAAATATGTATTATTGTATAATAATAAAAATGACTGCGTGTGAATGTATATATAAAGTGTAGTTGAAAGCGAAAGCGATTGCGACCTGATATATGCACTGAGAAAAGAAGTTGTTAATTTGACTAAGTGCGTTCAATTGATTATCATTTTCTTAATTTAAATATTTTAAGTATTTAAGTCAAATACGTCATGTTAGATTTAATATGTCGTATTTAATTTAAATACTTAAATATTTCAATTAAAGAAATAATAATCAGTTGAATTTAGTCAGAGCATTTAGTCAAGTTAACAACCTTTTTTTCTCAGTGTACATACGCATAATAAAATTCCTGTGTATATTATTGTATATAATAATAAAAATGTATTAATAAAATTGTATATAATAATAAAAATGACTATGTGCGTGCGTGTATGTATAAAATGTAATGTAACAGCGAAAGCGATTGCGTTCGATACCCGATATATATGTATATATATATGTAATAAAATGCACCTATGTGATGTATTATTGTATAATAATAAAAATGAGTTTGCGCGTGATGTGTGTGGAAAATGTGATTATAACAGCAAAAGCGATCAATCCATTTTTACAAATGCATATAATAAAGTCATATTAATTTAGGAATTATCTTCAAATATTAAAAATATTTAGTATTTGAAGATAATTCCTAAATCAGTATTCAATGCATAATGCATCCAATATCTGATATATACATATACATAAATATGTAATAAAATTACGCCTGTATGTATTATTGTATAATAATAAAAATGATTGTGTGTATGTATGTATGCATGTCAAAAATGTAGTGTAAGAGCGAAAGCGTTCATTTAACGAAAATGTCTTTATTTTACATATATTGCGATACCCGATAGATTTAATGTACTTTCTAAGACTTTCTAACGCGCTATTTTTGTTTCTAAATAATTTTATTTTATTATTTGATGGAACACCGACAATAAAACGCAAAATGTAAAAGAATTATGTATACCGCTGTATGTATATATGTACAAAAGAATCGATAATAATCTGTAAAATAGATTTTATAATTTTTAAAAATCTAATAAACTGCATTAATAATACAAAACGCAAATGTCTTTTTATTGAACATACCCATCCATTCTCACACATCTTATCGTCCCACACACGCCTCTTTGTTAATCATACATTTTCTTGATACATTTTTGCCAATTTTTTATTCTTGGAATTTTTGAAATGGCATTTCTTGGAATTAAGTATCAGGAGAACATGATAAGCAAAGAGATCGCAGGATCGAACCAAGTTAAATTGCAGAAAGCGGAAAATTTGAAGCATCGAAATTCGCAAAAGTATCAGGAGAACATGATAAGCAAAGAGATCGCAGGATCGAACCAAGTTAAATTGCAGAAAGCGGAAAATTTGAAGCATCGAAATTCGCAAAAGTATCAGGAGAACATGATAAGCAAAGAGATCGCAGGATCGAACCAAGTTAAATTGCAGAAAGCGGAAAATTTGAAGCATCGAAATTCGCAAAAGTATCAGGAGAACATGATAAGCAAAGAGATCGCAGGATCGAACCAAGTTAAATTGCAGAAAGCGGAAAATTTGAAGCATCGAAATTCGCAAAAGTATCAGGAGAACATGATAAGCAAAGAGATCGCAGGATCGAACCAAGTTAAATTGCAGAAAGCGGAAAATTTGAAGCATCGAAATTCGCAAAAGTATCAGGAGAACATGATAAGCAAAGAGATCGCAGGATCGAACCAAGTTAAATTGCAGAAAGCGGAAAATTTGAAGCATCGAAATTCGCAAAAGTATCAGGAGAACATGATAAGCAAAGAGATCTCCCTGCAGGGCCAATCTTTGGCCCCGCCGATACACAATTAAAATTCCGAGATTTCAGGAACATGATAGGCACAAGAAAGGTAATACGAATAAAAACTTCAAATTCTAAATTTTAAAACCTCCAACTTTATTTTCTTTTCTCATTTACAATATAGTTAAAATTACTATCTAAAAATTAATTGTTCTTTCAACTAATTTCTCAATTTTCACAACTGATTGCATTTGCAGGCATTATATACGCTCATAACAAACTTGAATACGGGTATAAGATTAGTAAATAGTGCGCTGCATAGGGGTAAGCGAATGATATTATTTCAAAGAAAATTTAATTTTGTAATATTTCGTAATAAACTGCAGATTCTGCTCTGTTCCTGCCATCAATCTACTGTCGTATTCTGTGAGCAGGCTCTGCTCGATTTTTGACATTAATTTGTCGATTTAATCGATAATAACGATCATTGTATCAAATTTGTAATTTTTTCGCTGATAATAGTTGATAGCAGATTGGCATGATCTGCTTTCGACAGATTTGGCTATCTGGGATTTTAAAAATGACGATGTATAATATCGCCATAGACGAGGATATGAAATATCTCTCCAGTAATTCTGTTAACTTATTGTCATATGCTCCGTTTTTTAATTATCGTCTCTTCGCGTCTGGATTCATTGAGACATCGCGTTATCGGTCTCATTGAGATATTTATCGGTGTCGTTGATTGTTTAAAAATTTATGTATCTCCCGCGATGCGTTGCGTATAGTAAACACAGATATCATGTATTAAACGAATATTAAAACTAGAGCGATATGACTAGATTATAGCCGACGTGGTAGTTTGGGAAAAAGAGATCCGGTCACGCACATTGGGTTATCGTATATTGGTCTTTCCCTCTCTCTTTCATACAGTATGTAAGATCGCAAAAAGATTGCTGAAATATTTCATTGTAAGATGACGCATTGTAAATACATTGTGCAATATTGTTGTAATCTTGAGATATTTCGCAACTACTATCAAACTACTCATGATTATTTATTACTCTCATAAAACCATCCATCATCTCCTTTGCAAAACATTGTACTGTAATTTAAAAGATTTCAACAATGTAATTGAACGATTCCGTGTTGTATATCGATATATATATAAATGTAAACTTTTTATATGATAACGTCGGTGTTAAAAAAACGTGCCTAAAATTGCTTTTAAATCGCTTTTATAACTTTATCGTTGAAGAAGATAAACGGGAAGAAAATCGAACAATTGTGCGGCACGCAATGGATAACGGATCAATGACGCCGAAAAATAAACTTGCGCCCAGTGCGTATTATTACAGCAGTTAACACGATTGATATTATGAAAGTCGATAAGCAACATACGCTTCTATTGGGAGCCGGACGAGCGGCATAATTGTGCGTAAACCGATATGCGTCGCGCGCTTATTACTCCTCTTACGCATATAATAAACTCCTTTAGTTTTCCGTGACCGACGCGAATACATGAAACGCGAGAACCGCGGACCTACGCACTTTTTATTCAGGTCATTAAAGTTTCACTATATCATACGATATCAAACTTGGTGATTATATACGCATACATATATAGATACGCTTAGTGATTTCTTCAGCCGATCTACGCATTTTCCAAAAGGGAATGCGTAGATCTGCCAAAGTCTCCCTCGAATGCATGCTTGCTTGTGTACTAAAAAGATTAGATATTTTATATTTATATTTGTTTTTAATTAAAAGAATTAAAAATAATAAACATGTAATATTTTTAGTATAAAAGAAAAAAGATTATAACATATAGAGAAAATATATATTATATCTATCATGGATATAATATATTATAAATTTCTCAACGTGATATATATGGATGATACACGCACAATATTTAATGGAATTATGAATATTCGATTTATATGCTGAGGATGAATCGCGCGTCCCTTAATCTTGCAATGAAACAAAGTAGAAAGAAAAGAGACTGGTTGATAAATTTGTTTGATACATTGGTGCATGCGTGACATGCACGCACTCGATAACCGATAACCGCGATGATGAAGCATTGACACCCGTTCAATTGAAATGAAGTATTTCAGATTTTTCCAAGTATCCAAAATACAAGGATTAAAGTGATTTTTTATTTACTTTCTCTTCTTCGCTCTTTCTTTACATCGATTAATTAATTTCTCTCTTATTAAAACTTCCTTAGTAAAACAAAATTACAAAAACATAATTAAAAAAAGCAGTATAATTCTACTATAAAAATAAAACTATAATTCATTAAAATTAAAACAGTTGTTTTTCTCTCTTGACGCTGACACATTTATCAATGATTTCTTAGTCGGCGATATTTACGTTCCTTTCAATGTAAGAGGTCTGTTTGACGATGCATTTTTTTTGTTTCGTAAGAAACACGCTTAGTTTGGGAATCGAATAACGAGTTTCAAATTATGCAAGGATGGACATTGGAGGAACAGTTAATAACATACTCCATAGCTATTGTAGTCCAGAGTGAGAAGTGTGTCTCCTAATACTGAAAGGACGTGGTAGAACGTAAATATAACAGGCGAGAAATTTTTATAAGACTATAATCTTCATTTTTATATAAATTTTATATATACGATATCATACATTGCTAAATCACACGTTTTTTTATATTTATAGTATATATATATATATATATATATATCCATATCTCTCTTCTCTCTCTTTTCCTTTATTTGTTAAAAATTCTTTTGGTTTCTTTTCTCAATTCCATGCAAATCATATTACGAGCTATGTCGCTTTAAATTTCAAACCGACGCAATGTAGAATTAAAAACATATACGTAGCCGAATAGAATTCGAATAATTCTTCATTGTGGCAAGAAATTTTTTAAATGAATCCTGCACAAACTTGCGCATATCGGCGAATTTATGAACATTGTAAAAAAATAATAATTCGTACAATATTTTTTAATTAGCAATAAATCGAGTCGCTTGATATTTTTTTATAACTTACAAAAACGATACATCCGCAGAGATTACAAAAAGGTACATATATTTTATAAGTACAAAATATTAATATGCGTTCGCGCATGGAGACTCTTTCTCATTAAATACATATATATGAAAAGGTATATATAATATTTGTAAAGTAATAGAAAAGATCATTGCAATAGAATTTTTTTATCAAATTGTAAAAGTCACTATGCATGTGTGTGTGTGTGTGTGTGAATATATAAATTGCGCGTCATATTGCCATATATCTTTATCAAAATTTAAAATGTGTATTTATCTTTTATTCATATTAATTGGTTTTCTCTTTCTTTCTTGAGCGACTCAAGCGTTTTTACCAACATTGTGTAATAAATACAAATAAATCGGTAACAACATTGAAATCACATTAAATGTCAAAGATCGCATGTCAAAGATCACATTAAATATCAAAAAGTTGCATCTTTTTTATCAGCCATTCATAATACTTTTTAAAAACAGGAGTTTGAATTAAGAAAGTAATTACTATAAATTACTTTCTCTTAATTAAAACTCTTGTTAACAAGAGTTAACAGTTTAAACAATACAAATGAGAATTGTGTTTTCTCATATGTAACTGTTACACAAAAATTGATACAGTACTAGGAATGTGTTTGCGCATATTATCTATCCTACTTACATACTATTATGTTAATTATAAATATAAATGCATAAAAAAACATGCATATATGTATATAATACAAAACATTGGCAAATATTTATGTATATATACTATCATGCAAATAATATTGCGTTGTTTATTCTCTTGATAAGTCAAGAAATATATGTTTGATTAAAATTTCGGTTAATTTCTTTAGTTTTATGATATATTCCGCATTCCTGTGCAATTGCACTATACAACTCTTTCCTATATAAAATTGAATTGTTTATATTAGAAAATATGTAGAAATTAATCAGAACAAGAATTTTCACATTTTATGTACACATATGGAAATTTTTGACAATAAAACTGATACTTCTTTTACATTTATACTTCGTTATATAACATATAGATTAACAATAAAATAGACAAAAAGATATTTTATCTTTTTTGAAAAGTATTTATAATTAATTATATAGTACGCTTATTATATACTATACTGTGGTATTTTAACAAGCTACATTGACACACTATATATTTGTAACAAGATGATGATTTTCATTATATTCTTGTCATGCTACTCTCTACACATGATTTGTAGAACAACTTCATTGAATTAAATTGCAAATAATAATCATGCTGATATATGAAAATATAAGGATATATGCATAAGAAAATCTGTCTTAGAATTCTATCCTTCATTAGGCCATTTATGTTATATATAATTTTCAACATTTATCATATAATAATAAAATTTTCGATGTAACGCGACTCAGGAAAATATTCTTGCATATTTATATGTATTTTCATATGTAACGCGTATTTTATCTGTGTTGATATTTTATATTTGCTCTTGGGTATTTTGAAGATGTGCAATATCTCGTGCGAGATATGCAATTAGCAGCAAATCACAAGAGATGTTTCTTTTTTTACGCTACAATCTGATGGATATAAAATCCTGTGTGTAATTTTTATGAAATCTTACTTTATATTCTGCGAGTGAAAAATTATAAATGAAAAGGAACTGAAACTTTATAATTCATGAATTATCCTTAAGGATATTATAATAATAAAGATTACATCTCTCAGAAATTGAGATAATATAACGGGGCTATTTTAAATGTTAAGATAATTAATTAGAGTTTTCTACACGAGTAAAAAGAATCAATATATTTGATGATATTTTTATATGAAACGATTCTCGATATCTCTTTTCACTCATATTTATGTGATGATTGATCACTATTTTGCGACAATTTGAACTTTTGCATTTTTAATATACCAGATATTTGTTCGCGCGCGTAAATCTTTGTGAATAGCTATATGAGAATATGTAAACCTCATTCAGACATATGTTGCAGATTCGTGGTTTCATTTCGACGTTGCAGTCGTTCTGGATGCGAGCAAGCTAACTGACTGAAATCACGAACGACGTCATTGAATGTTTCATCACCGGTGACGCCTATTTCGGAATCTTTCATTTCTTCATTTAGTAGGCCAAGTCGTAATCTGAAATATATGTCGATGCAATAAAAGAAAATATTTTAATATTTCTAAATTAATTCTTGCAAGATATTTACAAGGTAACAATATCAGCATTCGCTTCTTTTACAGCGATCGACAAGGGTTTTATCCCACTTTCATCTTCGATGTGCTGATCAGCGCGATGTTTCAGAAGCAAGCACACTTGTGCAGTATGGCCTGTAAATATTAATACATTCATATAAGATTGTAGTATTCTAGAAATGTAGAAAAATAATTTGTAATTTATTAGCATATACCTAATTCTGTTGCTAAATGCAACGGTGTTTTTCCCTCGGCATCTTGACAATTGATTCGTGCGCCATTCAAAAGAAGATATTCACATGACATGACAGATCCCTGTGTATCAAAAACGCGGGGTTGTTATCATTTTTATACTTTGCAGTTGGTTTTGTGCAAGATTGAGCAAAAATAATATTATAATACAATGTTTTACAGAAAGATTCTGGTACATACACTTATTATCGCTTGGTGCAACGCACTGCGGCTTTTATCATTAACATTGGACCATAATTTGTCAGCACCGGCCGCCAATGCTGCACACATTACGGGCAAATTGTGTGCCAATGCAGCTTTGTAAAGCAATATGTCGGGATGCAGATTTTTAATATCTTCTTCATCGGTAAATTCTTCGTCTTCGCCAGCCGTTGAATCTTGATCAGAGCTCAATTCTAGATTACCGTCCATAATCGGTTTTGGTACATCGCAACCAAACATTAATATATCCGATTCTGTTTTTTCATTGCAATGCTTCTCTGATTTAAGCTCTGTATTTTCCGAAACGTTTTTATTATCATCTTTGGTATCATCGGTGTGTCTGCTGGAATTGTCGTCCGATTCACCGGTTGAAAGCGTGCTAGTATCAGTTGTCGATACATTTACTTTCCGTTCGCTTTCTACCAGATTAGTATCATGCATCGATTCGCCGCTCGCAGCTTCTCCACAAGTTGCAGTATTCTTAACATGTTTATTACCATCGTCCAGATCGTTTTGCGAACGATTCAAGATCTTTCCATAGAGAGTGGAATTATTTTTTAAATCTACGTTAGCGCTATCATCCGAGCTTATTGAATTCCGTTCCGTCTTCCTCGCTTTTCCAACGGAATTCAAACTATCGATCGACGTGTGCTTGCTATCATCTGAACTCGTTGAATGATGGCCTTCCTTTACGGATAACAATGTCGACGTTTTATTACAATTACTACGATCGATCTTATCACAACTGCGTGGTCTACGACGTAACTTACGCACGCTCCATTTTCGAAAATGCATTTGCTCTCGACTAGCGTGATGCCCGGTTGGTATCACGTCAGTCAAAGATTTTACAAATTTACGATCTACATATTTTAATTTTATCCAAGTTTCCCGAACATTACTAGAGAGAGAAGACGTAAATATTTTATTAATACACTTATTTTTGCTAAGTTTTTACTTGTTGTTAAGAAATAATCAATTCACCATGATATTGCATACCTATTGCATTTTGGTGTAGCTTTAGTAATGTTGGAAGGTACAGGTAGAGCCTCATATATACTGTTTACAACAGAATTACCTAATTCCGCCATTACTTTTAATATTTCTGGTTCCCAATCATCTAAAGTCAAGGAGCGAACTTTGCTATAGTGTACTCCAAGACTTCTATGTACACCAGAACATTCTGTACAAATACCAAAGATATTAGGTGTACGATGTTATAAATAATAATGTATGTTAGTATATTTACCTATGCAAAGTGTAATGCCTAGATTGATACTAGCCCATCTTGGGTTAACATCACCACAATCGCAACAAACTTCATTACCTGAGATCTTTAATAACTGTTCCCACACTCTAAAATGTTAAAGCAATTTTCATTAAAATGCGTTTGTCCCTTCAACATAAATCAATGGCATATAGGATTTAGCAATCACCTCGATTTCGGTCTTGTTAATCGTCTCACGGGACCCTTGTTATCGCGCGATTGCGATTCATGTGGATTAACGCCAGCACCTATACTCATACCTCTCTGAATGGCAGCACCAATAGCTTGTTGCATCGCAGTCACCCAAGCCAAATATGTTTCTTCGCTGTCTGCTTGCAACATGTGGCTCCTATAAATAAGAAAACAAGTTTTTTTTTCTTTATATCTGCCAACAAACTCTCTTTTTATCATTGCAGAAAAATGAAAACATGAAATGCATCCGCTTACTTTGTCGGACTTACAACTTCAAAGCAATTCCTCCTATCGCAATCAACCACAGGTTTTACAGTGCATAATCGTAGATCTTCTTCCATAATTGTATAATCTTCGTCACCTGTTCGTTTTCGATATACCAATTGATGATCCTTTAAGCAGAACCACCTCCTATTCCAGGTTTTGAAAGCATTACTGGTCCTTTTAAATAGGTATCCTTCCATTTTTGGATTGCCAGGTACCGGAGAAGGAATCAGATCTCGATTATTAACGTATATATGCCGATTTTCCATTTCCTTTTCAAGCTTATTCGAGTCACTTCTCATCTTAACTAAGTTTTCATCGAGATCTTTTAGAAATGGATCTAGATCCTGAGCGAGATCGCTACCTTGGTGATAATAAGTAATACATGCATGCATGTAACTCAGCAATGTGCCTAATATTTCATGTCGCTTGTGTGCTTGCAGCATTGTCAGTACATGAATGTAATCTAACGCAGTATGTCTAAAACACGATCGAGTGGCCGACAGGATATTCGAAGTTTCCTCATATTCTGCAGGCCGAGATTTCGGTACTTGAGAGTTTCTATTTAGCGCAATATCGAGATCGCCTGAAATTCTTTCAAAGTAATGCCGGGACTCTTTTACTCTCTTAATGTCACTGGAAAAGTACGCAAGATAAAATTTGGTGTAAATCAGTCATCTGTCAACTTAACGCGATAATATGTGCAGGGGAGCTCACCTTTTAATAAAGTTATTAAGATCTTTCATCACAGTCCTAGAAGCTTGGTCTAACAAAATAGTATGATACTTGTTCATTTCTTGTAAAGCATGAATAAGTTTATTTAAGAATGCCATTATCTCAGGATCATCGCTAAAGTATATAGATAACTCCCATAGACTATTAGCAAACTGACTGTTAAAAAGATAGAATCATCATTAATATCTATGCTGTTAAAAATATATAAGAAAAAAAATACAATAAATTATTAATCTTAAATAATTTTTCCTATGTTAGCAATTGGTAATATGAGCATGTTTCAAATATATTATGCAAAATAATATGTATATATATATATATATATTTATTTTGCTTATATCTTGTTCAATATATTATATTTTTATTTAATAATTTGTACTTAATCTCTTTTTTATAAAACAATATAAAAATATATACATAGAACATTTGTACAGTATTCGTATATACTAAGAATTTCATATAAATCTATTCTCAATTTTTTTTAAATACATTTTATGTAGTAATTATAATATTGGTGCAATAGTTGAAGCATAAATAAATATATCAATCTTACTTTTGCTGTCCAACAAAGGCTTTCCCAGTGTCAATGGTTAGACTGCAATTCTTTAATACCTATAAATAATGAAAATAGAACAAATAACATATCACTAAATATAATAAAACATAATTATGTAAATAAAAAAATATTTTCTTGTTATTACATTATACATGTACATATATATTCTTATTTTTATTTCCTATATGCATTGATTATATTACTTCTTATCATCATTGAATAATGAAAAATTTATGCTGTAAAAATTCAAGTAGTACAGATAAAACACATGCTTGTGCATCATCATATATTGTACAATACCTTATCTAATTTTTGTTCAAGTTGATCTATATTCTTCTCCACCTCTTCGATGCAGGATCTGTAAAGTTCATATTATTTTAAAAAATATATGTCTTTTCATTTCTTATATAATTTTATCTACAAAAAATTTACATGATGTAAATATATTTAAAAAACTGTAAACTCTCTCTAACAATAAGAGTGACGAGGTATATAATATAAAATCATCAGTTTTCCTTTGTATAAAAGAAATTATAATTAGACTGAAGGAAGCATAAAAGAGATTATACCGAAATTTCGGAGTATCTCGTAAACATTCTTCGAATTCGATCAAAGGCTTCATTTTGTACTCTAGATTTTTCGAGATCTACGAATGCAGCTTCGTCCGTTGTACTGCAATCTCGAAATGTCGTACACGCGATATTTTCCATGAAATTAACACGTTGGGTTAGCAGTCCAAGTGCAATTAATGAAAATTGTACGCGCGCGCACTCATGTAGAACAAACTCACTTGTCCTGTCAAGCGTTTGTCCGCGTCATACAAGTAAAAAACAAGAAACACGTAAAAAGATGACTGGACCATTAAACTCTATACATATGTATTGAAATGTGCTCCCACAAAAGTATATTTGACGTATAAAAAGTGACTCAAAGAGAGAGTCTCTTTGTCTTTAAGCGCATGCGCATTGAAAATTTTGTATACTCTGCGTCATTGAGGAAAATTGATTGGTCTATTTCCTTATGCATTCGTTTATGGACCAATCAATTTCTTTATGCATATGTTATGCGTCTGTGCAAATCCGTCTGAATAGGCCTTTACACTTACTTTCATATACATTTACATCCTATATATAGTTAAATTGCAAATAAATTTTATTTTGCTATAATATAAAATTTGAATATTTTTTCAATATTTCTATAGATCAAAATATACAACAACACAAGCGGATTAACAGAGAAATTATTTATAATTTAAAAATCAAAGATTATCGAAGAGATAAATGATCTTGTACTTTAAATGGTTTCTCTACCATTTGAGTATTATTTGAGCAATTTTTTTTACACTGATCGGTCAGATTTTAACTTTTTTCTTATTCTATTCTACACCTATCATGTGTTCATACAAAGAGTGGAAAAAACGCACATTTTCATTCTGTACATGCCAGTGAAATAAAAGAGGAGATTAAGGGTAGATTTAGAGTAAAGAAGTTTAACTAATAATATAAGATTAGTTATGGATTGGAAGGGATGATTGTTAGGCTTCAAAAGAATATATTATTTATCAGAAATAATATATGTTCTTTCATGTGTCTTAATTAAAAGATTACATTTTTATTTCATTATTTCATTTTAATATGAAAATCATCAGCTCTCTATATCATTCTCTTTCTCTTTCACTGTATATATATTTAATACTTATACAATTATATTCTTGATTGTTTTACATAATGTATGCTCGAAATATGTTTATATTATTATTATTAGATTATACTATTAAAAAAAAAGAATTTGCCTACTTTTCAAAGAGCTTCAAAAACACATTAAAAATATCTATATAATATTTACAAAATAGACATACTTTCAAATATTGCCATTTCACAGAAACAAAATACATTAGAAAAATGCACTTTTCCATATCACAATTTAAATATAAAATGTTATTAAGCATTTGGATTTTTTGACATTAATTCCAAATCAGAGTCCATCATATCTTTTACAAGTTCCTACAATATATATATATATATATATATGTATATGTATATGTATTATCGATTTATATATAAATTTATATATAATATATAGAACATTAACCCTTTGACTCTTATACTTTTTTTTCTTTAAGTTGAAGATAAAATTGATCAAAAAGTTTATAAATAAAATTAAATATACATTTATATGTATCGAAGAGAGGCAAGGTTCATAGATCAATGTATCAAATTAAATAGTTATACTTAATATAATAAAAACAAAATATATTAAAAAATTTTAGTTTTGAACTGAATTATAAGTTTGTATATATGATTTTCTAGGAGACAAAGGATTACATAAATGCAATAAATAAATGCATTAAATAAATATAGAAAATTACCTCAAATGTGACTGTTGGTTTCCATCCGAATTTGTTTCTTGCTTTTGAGGCATCACCCAAAAGTACATCCTGCCCGTAAAAAGAAAAGAAAAAGATTAAATATATAAACCATGCTATGAAATTTATTTTCGATTTTTCATGTAATTTATATAACAATTATAATATCTTACCACTTCTGTTGGACGGAAGTATTTTGGATTTACGCGAACTAATACTTGACCGGTTTGTGCATCTTGCCCTTTCTCATTTATGCCTTTGCCTTCCCATTTAATTGTACGACCTATATATTGGAATGCTGTTTCTACAAATTCTCTCACACTATGTGTTTCTCCCGTTGCTATGACATAGTCATCCGGTTGTGTTTGTTGGAGCATTAACCACATTGCCTGTACATACATGCAATATTATGTGTAATATAAATTATATATGTATATCTAAAAAAATTTGAAGTATTTAATTTAGTATAAAATGCTACTTTACTAACTTCTACATAATCCTTGGCATGGCCCCAATCTCGTTTTGCATCTAAGTTTCCTAATTCAAGCACATCCTGCAGACCCAAGTGTATTTTTGCTATTGACCTGGTCACCTTTCTCGTGACAAAGTTCTCTCCTCTTCGTGGACTCTCATGATTGAACAATATGCCATTACATGCAAACATATTATAGGCTTCTCTATAATTTACAACAATCCAGAAGCTATATAACTTTGCGCAAGCTAAAATTTGGAATTATATCTACATATATATAATGTATGTATGTAATGTATGTGGGTATGCGTGAGTCTCTCTTCTTTCGTTTTTCAATTACCATATGGAGAACGTGGATAAAATGGTGTCTTTTCATTTTGTGGAACTTCTACTGCTCTACCATAAAGTTCAGAAGTTGATGCATGATAAAATTTTACAGATTTCTCCAGGCCACACGTACGTATTGCATCTAATAGTCTCACTGTTCCTACTGCATCCACTTCTGCAGTATATTCGCTCACTTCAAAGCTCACCTATGAATGAATATAAAACAGAAAATATCAAATTTAATTTCAATTTATTGTGAATATTATATATGTATTTGATACAATATACAAACCATAACATGACTTTGTGCCGCAAGATTGTAAATTTCTGTTGGTTGTACTGCACTAATGACTTTAATTAAACTGCTGGAATCAGTCATATCGCCATAATGCAGCTTCATTTTACCTTGGCGATGACATTTTGGGTCTTCATATAGATGCTGAATGCGAGCAGTATTAAATGAACTGGCACGTCTGATAATACCGTGCACATCGTATCCCTTCTCCAATAAAAATTCTGCCAAGTAAGAGCCATCCTACAATGAAAAATAATGAAAGAGATGAAAAAAATATAATTTAAATTATACTATTGTATCTCAAAATATAGATGTAATATAAAAAAGATAAAAGTAGTAAAAAATATATTTAGTAAAGAAAATCATATTTTAAAAATTGAAACACTGTTCTCTACCTTTTTTTATGTTATAAAATGCAGTATTACATAAAAGATTAAATTGTATGCTGGAATTAAATATATATTAAATCTTACTTACTTGTCCCGTAATACCTGTTATCAAAGCGACACGTCTACCATCGCCGGTTGCCATGTCGATTGTCAACACGTAACCAACAAAGGTTCACTTTGAATTCTCGGTCTATTGCGTCAAACCATTGCCAATAACGATAACGTTTATCGGTTAAAAAGACTAATACAGAAAAAGAACCGCGATAGTTATCATGTCCTATCCATTTTCAACACATAGGCAATAGGCAGTAAGATTAGACAGGCCGTTCATTTCCCTCAGTATTGTTAGAGTCGATAGTCGATACGTCGATAGTCGATACGTCGATAGTCGATACGTCGATAGTCGATACTATCGACTCTGCTCGATTTTTTAAAATTTAAAATTCTCTATTTAATGTTTAAATTTTGTAATTTTTATTTATATTAGAATCTCTTACAAAGTGTGCTTTACACGCTTTAAAATTTATACCTAATGAATAAAAATACTAAAAGAACCAAAACAAAGAAAACAAAAATAAAATATGCGATTGGCATAATTGTAATCCATTTACACATGTAAAATGTATTTTTATCCATTAAATACGAATTTAATTATATTAGATACATAATAGATATGCATAAAGAAATTAACCAGTCAAATGTCTAATGTATAGAATACCATATTTTGTTAGCTTCTTCGTATTAAAATAAATAATTGGTTGATATTTTTGTATATTAATGTTTTAAATACATTGACATCATATGTGGATGACACGATAAACATGGATTCCATATTGCAGCATTCTTTTTACTTAGATCTACATATGTATGTTTTGCAAGGTATTTTATAATAAATTGTATTGGTTATTTCATTTGTAGTCGCAATATATAAATTTCATAGATGGTAATCGACTATGATATATAAAACAAAGTGTATGAATATTATTAATATTTTTACAAATCACATATACATTCTGCGATTTTTTATTCGTACAAAATATTTTTTTATTTCATTTTATATTGATATACCTATCATAATAAAATGGATCGATGATTCAAAGATAGGATATTCGGACATAATTCTTTTCAAATTGTTTACATACAAATATTAAAATTATGGATAAATAATTATTCTTTTAGCTTAAGCTTATCATTTTAGAAAGTAAAAGAGATTTTTTGAAATACATATATATTAATGTTTTTAACTTCTGTTACAATGTCATGCAAATAAATTAATCTGAATGCTAGAATACACATTGGAACATTTTATAATAAATATAACTACTTTACATTACCTGAAATACATATAATTTATAGACGTAGAAAGATTTTTTTTTTTTTTTTTTAATATGGAGTATTATTTCATAATTTATTGATTGCGTGTAAGTGTGTGTGTATGTGTTTGTGTTTGTGTATGTGTTGTCAAGAGAGAGTACTATTATTATATTAATGTTACCAAAGCCATTTTTTAATAAAAGACATATATGTCGCAAAACTACAATATATTTGCGACTATCTTGTAAATTTCCGTAGAATGTTGTCGATGCTAAATGTCACTGTTTTGGCAATATGTTCTGGAGAACCCGTATATTCGGTTTTGTTATCTTTTATCATGGCGTTTCCCTCATTTATCTCATTAACTTTATTTTGTTGTTGAAGTTTCTCTTGGCGTTTTCCCAAGTTGGGTAAAAATTCGGCCGACACCTGTAATTCAAACTCACGTTTCAGTATCATAAATTCATTTCATATTACTAAATTTGCGTTTATATGATATAAATATTTAAATAACATTTTTATAATTTAAATATCTAAATATTATCTATTCTCCAATCAAAAGACCTAATTTCAAATGTCAAAGAAAACACACGGCGTTTAGTGTCGTGGTATCTCAAAAAGTTAAATAATATCGCACGCATAATCTTGCAAAAGATTAAATAATTTCTCCATACCGACAATTCCGCAGACTTCTGCTTCTCTTGAGCAAAGGTCCGCTGCCGTCTCGTTCTCCTTCGTCTGTAATTGCCGTATTCGAACATCTCACTGGCGGATCGATCCAGCGTCCAATAGCTTCCCTTTCCAGCCGTATGATCTTCGTCATTGTCCACGCTCATTTTATTTCGCGGAATCTTTACGAAGCAATCGTTCAGGCTAAGATTGTGCCTTATGCTGTTCTGCCAGCCCTGCCGATTTTCCCTGTAATAAGGGAACTTGTCCATGATGAACTGATAAATTCCGGAGAGCGTCAGTCGACGTTTCGACGACGAATTGATGGCCATCGCTATTAAAGCAATATAAGAATACGGGGGCTTCTCGTAATGCGGGGTTTTGTAACTGATCGCAGACGTTGACCAAGAGCTCGATGCCTGACAGAAGACCGGCCCGGAAATATCAGCGCGCAGCATCCCCGGAACGACGACGTTCGTAAATCCGTAGATACGCTTCATCGTGCACATCTCAGATAATGTTTCATCAGTCGGAAACATCCACCAGTACTCCTGACATTGATGTAAATGGTATCCATGATTTTTCGCATCCTCGAGGAAACTTTGAACCTGAGTGGGATAATCGCTTGGCTGCATCGTAAATCCTTTCGAGCATCCAGGATGAAAGAAGCGGAGTGTTTTGTAAAATCCCGTAGTTTCACGCTTTTGTCTTTTATCTCGACAAATGTTGAAAATTCCACCGAATACTACAGCCTAATATATGTATATATATTTTAATAAACGTAAAAAAAATTATTAATATGCAATAAAAGAAAAGTACTCCGTTAAATTTTACTCAAAATATTTTCTATTGCCGTACAAAACAGAATGAACAAATTTGCACTGATGTAATCGTCGTCAGATTGATAGAGACCATGTAACGGTACCCTGTCGATTAGGGCACAGACTCGCCGCGACTTCGGTGCATCCAGTTCTCCAACGAAGGATGTTTAATTTGACACGAGAATCTAAAAGTCGGTCCAACCCCGCCCATCGATGGTTTTCCAGGGAACACCCGTTTACGCTGTCGTGGGGAGGCGGTTACCTATCCGGGACCGCACTACGTGTTTTATTGCTGTTTACACATATGCCGTTTCAACACCCACGCCGGCAGTAACCGCGCCGATATACAAACAGCGTTGCGGTAATTATATCGAAGCCCAACGGTTTCTTGGAAGCTCCTTCCTTCCTAACCGATATTATTTACGATCGATGCAAAGATATATAATTTAATATAAAAATCATTTATGTTGATTAAGCATATATTTTAATCAATTTAATAACATATACATGCCTATTAGTAACATACATGTGTCCATTTAATGAAAAATCGATAAAACAAGTTTAATAATTTGAGTGTAACATCACCAAAATTACATATTTAGTTTTTATATTTACATGCGCTATTAAATATAAATCATTTATTAACAATATGTCTAAGAGATAAAAAGTTAGAAGTAATGTAAATTAGGCATATACGAACGATTATATACTAAAGTATAAAACGTGTCAATTATATATAATATAAATTATATAACAATTTTAATTTATCATATGATAATATAATCAGAATTGTTTTTTAACAATTGCATCATCGAAACTGCATAAATATGTTTGCTTCTTTTCTTAACTTTATGAAAAATGGATAAAATAATTTTTATAATTTGAGTGTAACATCACCAAAATTACACATTTAGTTTTTATATTTACAAATATAAAAGCTAATTTTTGCTTTTGTTTAGTTGTATGCATTGTTTGTCAGGTTCTGTAGTATTACTTTCATGGCTGCTGGATTGTCTTTCGGAACCTGCGCAATTAATAATATTATACACATTAAAATACATTAGATACATAAATAATGTATAAACCAAAATATATGTGTGTATGGTGGCATTTTGATATCAAATATGTCAAAGTAATGATGGATCAATTATAATTTAATGCTTAAATTTTTTGGATATATGTATCTCGCATCTCGGTAACAATTTTTCGATTTTAATATACATTTGCCTGCAATTATAAAGTAATGTAAATTATCGGAGCGAATGATTCGTACAAACGTATTTGAATTTTACAGATCAGCGTTGTATACAAGAACTCTGCCATAGCACATCATGCCGGTGTGTGTTATTTTTTATTTTTATATTTCGAGATAAATAAATCTAGAGATATCACACACGGTATATAAGTACATAGCAATAAAGAATTTTTACATTATTTATTTTTATGAATCATTTATTTGACAAAATTTGAGTTTATTATTTAATTTTAGAGTTATTATATTAAAAGAAAATAATGAGAATATCATAATTAGATACACATATAAATAATTAAATATATCTGTCTCTTGTAAAGATAATTAAATATATTTTATAAATTTATTATCACGAAATATTGATGGACACGTGTGTGACAGAAAAATAAAAATGAAAACTATACAGAAAATATTTTATAGAATTACATATTTCAATTAATATATTTAAAAAAAAATATTATAATGATTTAAAAAATTTTGTATCATTTATGAGCCCGTTTTATTTTAATTTTTTATAGTCTGTTTATTTATATTTATCAATAATATAACTTTATATTACTTGAAACCAAAAGACATAAAGACAAAACAAAACTCCAAAAAATGCTGGCGCATGCAAAATAATTGTTAAAGAATTTTTTGTATAAATAATTTTTTGAAATATAAATTAATTTTATAATAATATAGTATATAAAAATAATTGATCATTAATAATCGAATTATTAATGAATAATTTACGCGTCTTTCAATTGACGGCACCAAATTACGTATACTGCTTTCTACACATCACAATGGACATGATATAAATTAAAAATCTATGATGAATCACTTTCCATAAGTGACGAGAGTGAACACGACATTAAATATATAAAGAACATGTTTCAATTTAGAATTTTACTTGTTGCAAATTAATCTTGATGATCGCTTACGGTAATATTACAATAAATACGGAAGTTGAACGGAAAGAGAGAAAGTGAGAGTATGCATACCATATGTCCGGCTCTGTGCACCCAGTACATACAGAACTTATCCAAAAATTTCAAAGAGCCCTCGAGGAAGCCATCTTCAGAGAGGAGCGGCTCCCTCGGCAACCATTTCCACCACTGTGCCCATTCTAGTTTTTCGACCCAAAGAAGAGTGCCTAAAATATAATAAAATAACCATGGATTATACGAGAATATTAAAAAAATATTATGCGTAATAATCTAGTGAATAGCATGCCTAATAACTAGTGAATAATGTCAGTAAGAGTGCTAACACAGGATATACAAAATGGTTCATTTTTGGCGATGTTATTGCAAAGATGGTAATTTTATGTGGAAAAAAAGCTGAAAAAGTAGAATAATATTTTCTCACGTCGGGTTTGGTTTTTTACAAAATTGATTCTAAATAAATCGGGGGATTAATAATATCTTTTAAAACTTGAATAATTTTGAATAAAAAAATTGTTGAGACGTTATCAAAGTGAAGGAAAGAAAGAATCCAATAATTCAAAAATTTCTGTTTACTCGGCTATTTGAGAAATATCTAGATGCTTGATATTATTTTAGATCTTACTTGAAATATTTCAATTCATTTTAACATATTTTTATCATTTATATTTAAAATTGCTATAACGTGCTTTAATGTTAATTTATTTTATAAAATTTTCTTACAAATTATTTTATTTATGTTAACGCTATTAGCGTTATTCATTACGTGTTGTAGTACATAGAAAAAAAAAAACAAATTAACTTACCTGGTGTATCGATAATTAAGTCCAATTGCCCATTGTATACGAATACGTTCAAGTTAGTTTCATTAAGTAATTCGTCCACTGAAACAGAATAGATTTATGCATTTTTTATGAGTAAATTATAATGTATTATAAAATATAAGTCGTAGTATATTATATTATACGAGAAATAATATATCTTGACATTTCGCGAAAGATTCAGTTTTAGAGCAAACACATGCGTCTGAATGTATTGGAATGCATGTTACAATAGAGTTTTAAGTTTACACATGTGTTTGCTATCTCGTTCTTACTTCATGAATTTATATAAACTCATAAAAATTGATTCAACAGCTTTTCGAAAGCTTACGAATTATTTAGCTTTTACATTTGTTTCACAAGGAAACAATAACAATGCATTAAGTTACACTACTTTCTTTATCGTATTTTTGTTTTAGTAATACATATATTTGACATATTTGGCTGGTACCTATATTAGTAACAGGCTTCATAATATCCTCTATTAAGCTTTTGCGAACTATTTGAGATTGGTTACCATGAGTGACGTTAAGACCGAGCGCTTTTTTTACTGGGCCATTCATCAAACTTTCAAGTGACTGAGTCTCAATTTGAACAAAATTTCGATACATATCTACAATTGTTAAAAAAAACGATTTATATGTGATAATGATTATTATGTTAATTATCATTCATTATATTAAAAATGATCGTATACCTTCATCAAAAAGCAATACATTTTGCGGCGATACTAAAGAAGAGTTACATTTCTTTTTTGTTAAAATATTATAAACGTCAACGTTGCAAGTTTTTTCTGAAATGATAGCTTGTGTGTAAGAGCAATCAATAAGTGCCTCTGTCCATTGGCCTTTTTCTATTTTATCTTTTGTGCTGTTTGCCGCAGCGTTAATTTCGTTAAAATCTGCCGTATCAACCATACCCTGTGAAAATGTCCAAGAATTTTATAAGAATGCATAAATACTAGAGAATAAAATTTTACGTAAAACTAATGAGAGCCGACGAAGAGAAGGTGAAAGGGAGATGGCAGAGAAAGCCAATAAATTTAATTATCGGGGCGTGTGTTTATCTTTTTTTTTATAGTATTATTTATCGATTATTATTATAAAATCTATTATAAAATCGATGCATTGCCTTGTTTTGAGCGTAACTAAAGCCAGCACCAACAGGGTTATCGATGAAGAGGATATTGTAATCTTTGACCTATGACACAAATATATATTAGGGGCTATATACAAGTTTATTTTAATAGATTTATAAAAGTCTAGTTTTTTATATTTTATATTTTATCATATATTCTGCGTAATGTTTTGTTTTAATTTTTTATGCAAATTATCATTCTTCTTATTCTTTTCCAAATACATTAATAATATCGAATCACTATACATTTTAATAAATAATGTCTCAATTATTAATAATTTATAAGTTATATACATACGATTAAATTAGATTACGCTTAATTTTGACAGAATATATTTTATACTTTTGTATATATCATGCAATAATTAATTACCCAAGTGTAATTTCTTGGATTTAAATCCGTATCAAGAGGCCCTAGTTCTTCGAAATTTCCATACGCAGTCGAAGATCCGCCTGGTCCACCTTGTAACCAGATGACTAGCGGTTTGTCATAATATGATTTAACGTCTGCCGTAGTATAATAAAGCCACCAAAACATATTTGCATAGGGACGTACTTGAACATAGCCCCATTCTTGTTCTCCAGGACCGAATCCTTTTCTCCCTTCGTTGATTGAAACAAATTTTATTATTAATAGATAAAAAACGGAGTGTAACAATTGCATATATAATCGATAAATTAGAAAAAGGCAAAATTGATTAAAGATAAAAATAATTATCGTAGTTGTGATGAGAGATATAGATGACTCATTTACTTTGTAATGTGTATATTATTTAAGGTCATGTTGTTATTGATATTTACGAGAAATATCTTAAATGTTTTCCTTCAATTTCTGTTAAAATTATTTTGTATTTTAATTTAATATAATTGCGAATTTTAAGAATTTCTGCCTCTATTTATATTACATTCATTTTCTTTACTTGCTCTTATAATTCATGTAGATACATCATTTATCGATGACGCGCGCGCTAATAAGTAATTTTTTTTATTATAAAAGAATTTCAAAAGATTTAAACTGAATGTGAAAGGACTCTAGTCTCAATATTTAACTCATCTTTTTGTCAATAATTTGATTTAAATATTATCTATCTATGGCTAATATTAAAATAGCATATTCTTGAGACTATTTTTTATGTGAAATAAATCGCGCATGAGATTTGAACATATTAAATTAGAAATTATTACTTCTCTGCAATAAACTTCGAAATATTTCAGTTACGAGTAATGATTTGAAAGTCGACGGCGCAAAGACGAGTAGCTGAAATGGCATGTGTTTGCCAAGCAAAGACTTAGGTAAATTTGCCAAGTCTTAAAAGAAATCGTAAAGTAAACTCCCGCAAAGCTCCGCGTCATCGTGTAATAGAAGATAGGAATGCAAAGGGGACATCTTGTATAATCCGAACTTCTTATTTTAAATATACTCGTAAAATTTTACACGTAATCTTTTTTATTTGTCATATCTAACAATCAAAATCACCTACTCAATATTGTATGATAATAAAATCTATCACGCCGATGCACAATTTGTATTTTATCTTACCAATACTTGCAGAAATAAAGCACAATATAATGAAAATGCAAATAAGTAGCCGCTCCATCGTTCTTTCTATATATTGTTTATTAATAATTAATAAGTATTCGCAATATTTACGTAATGAAAATGAATCGCGCGTGCAATATTTCATTTCGTATATTTTTGAACGTTGTTTAACAAGGTATGTTCACATACTCACTTAATATCGCACAATATCAGACTGAAAGGTAAATAGACGCGACGCTACTCATAGACATTATCAACCATACGAATATTTAGATTATTTTTATATTAGATTTTTATATTATATTATTATTTATATTTTAGACATTATTTCATAATAGAAGATAGGAATGCAAAGATTGAGCATTTTATCACTCATATTATATCAAATTCGTAAAATTATGACAAATAAAAATTAAAATACGTACGCATAATTATGTACAAAGAAACTGGTTAGAAACTGCTTAACTACACAATTGCCAATATATCTCAAAAATAAAAAAAAAGAAAAAGAAAAAAGGAATATTATATATATAACATTTAAAATATCTTATCAAAAAATTACTTGCAGAAATAAAGCACAATATAATGAAAATGCAAATAAGTAGCCGCTCCATCGTTCTTTCGTGTTTCCGCGGCGAAGTTTCTCGGATACTAACCGTTGAGATTATATGGCGATACACACAAAGCATATATAAACGTGTCTTTTGTCGTCTTTTTTGTGGCAAAATATTTTGGAAACTAATCGTTGAAATAACATTGTTATCAAAAAACATATATAAATGTAAATATTTATTTTATTTCGTCTGTATATAATCCGCACTCTCTTATTTATATACGTCACATTCCACACGTCATCTCGACTATTTGGCATATCTAACAGTCAACATGACCGCTAATACGATATTATATGGTAGCAAAATTTATCATCTCGATTTGACTTTTATTTTACCAATACTTCCAGAAACAAAACACAGTATAGAAAATAAATAAATCCTTCATCGTTCTCTCGCTTTTCTGCGGCAAATAATCTGCAGTAATCTGCGGAAAAATAGTCGTTGAAATTATTAATACACGATTTTATACTATTTTATCTACATTTCAAATAAATATAAATTAAATATATATGCATCACACACATAATCATCTATCATATAATCTATTGAGTTGAACGGAAAGTTCGTGCCATTTTTTCGGTCTTCATCTCTTAGTAAAAAACGGAACGAACTTTCCGTTCAACCCAATACATTATTTAAACGCGATTGAGACATTTTGCGCTCAATGTTTTACTTTGTTCGACTTTTTTCTTTCTAATTAATTATTGGCTAAAGTTATTCAGTAGATAATCTGCTTTTTTTGTTAACTTGCTTATCTTTATATATATTTAATTTTTAGCAAACGATAAATGATTCTTTTATTTACGATATCGAACACTGTGCAAATTTGTACAGAATTGCTTTTCATTAAACACATTTCCCAATATATTTATTTTATCATTTTTAAATCAACTTTTAATAAAGATATCGAGCCATATCTTTTAGATTATAAGCAATGAAAAATGATGAAAGTTTTTTAAAAATTTAGTTTTAGAGAGAAAAGTAATAAAATATTCTTTGGTTAAGTTCAAGATAGACTATATTAATTTGAGAGTTAATTAAACAAAGATATACAATATGAAAAATTGGAAAAATACGTAATAAATGGCAATATTTTTGTTTAAAAAAACAAACGAATTGTAGACATTGTATAAATAAATTTTTACAAGATACTGAGAGAGAGAGAGAGAGAGAGAGCCTGCTTTTAACGTGGTGGATTAATAGCAGAATTAATATGTAATTTACCGACTTAAAATCGCGGAAAGATGTAACGTTGCACGTAGTATATAAGCATATCAACCGAGAAAAATAGTGACAGAGGAGAAAGTCGTCGTCATCGTTCAAACATTCGACTATCCACGGCAACAGGAAAAAAGGAGCCAAAAAATAAAGTAAAAAGAAAGAAAACGCGCATCTACGCACACGTTGGTATTACGTTGATGCAAGAAAAATGTCGATGAGATGCGCATTTTTAAAGGAGCCAAATAAAGTAAAAAGAAAGAAAACGCGCATCTACGCACACGTTGGTATTACGTTGATGCAAGAAAAATGTCGATGAGATGCGCATTTTTAAATACATCGTATATTTATAAATTTGATGCCGTTAGTACGACTCGCGTGAAATCGGGCTCTTATAAACCGTCGATATAAATTAACTTTCCGTACTCGAGCTTGGAAACACATCATCCGGTAAAACAACGGCAAGGCATCGGGAAGTACTTATATCGAGACATTCTCTTCTCAGCGAAATACTGCTACATTAGAAAAGCTCGTAATAGCATCGAGTCATGAAACAGTTACGTCATTAGGAAAGGGGATATAGAGACGGGTGAAATTATCCATCTTGTAACGAACGCTCAAATTCATATATCGTTATCACATATCGACAGCACAAAGCTGTGCGCGGTAAATCTCCCATTGCAAAATTGCAATGCCGTGTTTGCCAGAAGAAATTACTTTACCCGCATGTCTTCACGCGTCTGTCGGCACATCTATTACGTGGCCCCGCTAATTGATATTCACGCTATGTGTCTCGAAAACACTTCTTGGATTTGTACAGTATTCGCGACAGGTTTTTCGATCTATTGCTACTCCGGAAATTATCCGCGAAGCGTGAAAAGGCTGAGCCTGTCGAAATCGAGAACATGTGAATATATACACGCGAATAGTACGCTCCTAGCATAGTACAGCCAACGACTATTTATTTAGGACAATCGTTTAACAAGTCGCGTAAAAGTATGCGAATAAAATAAGTATGTCAAGTGCGTACATGTTTTTTAATTTATCTATGAGAAAAGAATTATATAAGAATTGATATCTCTCTTTCTCTTTCTCTTTGTTTCTCCCCTCTCTCTCTCTCTCTCTCTTTCTCTCTCTCTCTCTCTCTCTATATTCATGAAAATATGTTCCGGTCCGGTTCATACATAAACAAGCCATTAAAATTCGCCAAAAATACATTTGCTCAAACAGCGTGTCGCGTTTACGCGCTTGCTGTATATATTTGTTTTACGTTTCGAGTATGGAGGAGGAATCGGCCTCGAGGAGGTGGAGAATCTTATAGCACGAGAGAGAGGGAAAGTTGAAACATCTTACATTGTAAAATATCCTTGTTCTCCTAAATCGGATATGGGTTTCATATTATATTATAGGTACAGTAAATATGAATAATGCGCGAAGTGAAAAACAAAATATTCATTTCTCTCTCATTAAAAATTGATCGCTTAAAAACTAGTCACATATACACACACAAATACCTAGTCGGTCGAATTTTATTTTATCGCGCTAACGTCACGCGAGGGAATTTTTATGGAAAATGATAAAGTTGAAAAACGGACACGTCTTTTATTTAGAATTTAGACTACGTTTTTGCATTTTCCATATATGTGTATCCGGTATAACTTTCTTTTACATACATTATTACGATTTGCGCCGGATTCAAAGATGTAGCGCGATCACGAAGTCAATTCACGATCATTGTTGTACCATGCTTGCAAATTGTAGCGATCGGTCGCAAGTCAAGACTGAAAGTCTAGCTGAGCCTATGTAATAGAATCTTCGCAGTACAATTCTACATGATATAACGAATACATTGAACCTTCCTATTTGTATGTAACGACGCGGACTCTGTATCGATTGTGCAACATGCCAGCAGAATCGCCCGCAGGAACTGTTAAATGGATTTCACATAATGTAAAACGGACGTCTCAGACTTCCTGGTGAGAGAAGTCTATCTTTTTATAAGTGAACGGCACCATTTATCGTAGCACTCATTATCTTCTCATATACATATATGAATCTCTCAGAAAGCCAAATTGAGCATTGTTCTAGTACTAAAATTTACAAATTTACAAAAATTGAATTAATTTCAGCTTGGTTTCTGAGAGGCTTATAGAAGTGGAAAGATTCGTGAGAATCTAATCTAATATTGATAAAATATATTGACGATGTGGAGAAAATTATTATAAGTTTTTGCGTATAATAATAACAATAATAATAATACCACAAAGTGGTCCGAAAAAGCATTCTATCGATGTATCCGATAGAAATGAAATTTGTAGCATGATTTCTCTCTTCAAGATTGTCTCTTCGTTGGTGGGAATCGGATTACGGATCTGAGAATAAATTTTAATTACGAGAAGTCAGCTTTTCTATTTCATCCATAAAATACTAAATTCAACATTATATTATATCTTCTCTCTACCGTGCAAATGACTTGCGATGATTACTACTGTGTTTAAATGCGGAAGGAAAGCGAATCTTCCGTGACGCCAACTTTATAGATCTTCCGATGTTATATGTACGATGTTGTGTGCTTATGTATATCGCACAGTTATGGGAAAATTAATCCCCCCAGTAGTTGTTTAGTAATATTAGTTTTACTAGTGATTCGTCTATATCTATTTCGTGCATCTTTTTTTTTAATACTTTTTTAAATATTTTTTAATACTTTTTTTTATCCTTTCTTTTTAAGTTCTTTTTCGAATTGACGTATTGAAAATTTCAGTAGCTATTATATTCGAGCTATTATAAGAGAGCTCTCGTTTGATATTTAGTTTGTCTACTATTGATTCCCTCTATTTTAAAGTCTATCGAGCAAATTCGCGACAGCTTGTACTTGAGATTTGCATCTTTGTATGATTGTGCGTTAGCAACAGAAGTCATGTATCGTTCCCGAAGCATAGTGAAAGTAACCGATTCGATTATCTGTGTGAAGACAAAAAAATCGAAAAGACAGCTGCTTCAGACATCATATCGAAAGAAAGTCAACGTAATTCCCCATCGTGGGGTCCGAGTAACGACTCTCTCAATTTGTCGCTTCCTTGTCGCCTCACCTATAAAAATCGAGAGAGATTCTGCGTACAGATTTAAATACAAATTAGTTTGACGAAATAAACATTTGAAGATGCCTTAATCGATTTTCCAATTTTCAAGATTGACTTTCTTGAAAAATAAAACAATTCATATAAACGCAACAAAAAAAAAAAATTAACGATTTTGCATATTATCGGCTTATTTCCTTACATAGAATTTTTATGGCACTCTGTGGTACTGTCGATTATAGGACGTGTACAGAAGCCGGTGGTAATCAATTCTCATCATCTAACGCGGGTGCAACCCGGCGCATCTCTCGGCGGACATACCGTCGGTGAAAGGCAACCGCGATGCATGCATTTTTCAGGAACGACAGTAACCCTGGGGAAGAAAGTCAGAGTGAGATTCTGCAGGTGGCGAAGTGCGAGTGCGAATGCACTTGCTTGCGATGCAGGCGAAAATTATTCTCTCACGTGCATTACGAAATGCACTTTTCCGTATTGCTGCATCGTGGGATGTATCGTGTGCCACTATAAAATAAGAAAGGCATTTCTTCAAGTTCTGGGAAAAGCTGTAAGATTCTGTATGTAATTTACAGTGACATGTTAATTTGTTCCAACACGAGTATCGCCAATTTTGCTGTTTTCAAAATATTAAATTGATGCAGTAATACAATGCGAGAAAGTGAGAAAGAGACCGAGAAGAAAGAGAGAACTATTATATGAATAACAAACATCTGAAATTTATTAGTACCAGAATCATTAAATGAATATAGTTTTTACTAATCTCATGCTAAAAAAGCCGCGATCTACTTATGAAAGGTTTTAAAGAAAAATTATTATAACAAAGTCACATTTTATTTATAAGTGTTTATTAAACACTTAATAAAATAAAATAACGAATAAATGAAATAACAATTAAAATAATAATATTAATAAATTAATAAAATAATAAACATGACCATATATCTATAATGTGTCTTTTATAAAACTACAATATTATAATCAGATATGAAATGTAGTAGAAAGTTTAATTCCCCTTGCGGTAATAATCGTTTAAAAGGCCCTGATAATAATTAGCGAGAAAGTGATCGCTGCTTGTGTAGCGTGTATGTTGCATGTCATCGGACATTGGTTGAGCATTAGCGTTAACATCCGTCATATACGTCGACATTAAATTTACTAATTTGGTAACTTTTGATATCTAACTCTTTTAATCTTTCAATCATAGGTTTGGAAATTAATCATCAATCTTGCTAGCCAATTTTCCAAAGATTCTATAATCAATTTTTTTGATACGAAGATTCTTAAACTATTTTTAAGGTATATTTTTTATATAAATTCTATTGATCATATTCGTATATTTTATGTTAATCGTATATTTTATGTTAATTATGCAACTATTTGTTTAATATTTGTGTATAAATAGATATAAATTTTTTCTCTGTAAGATCTCTCTCTCTCTCTCTCTTCATAATTTTCTCGATATAAACCATATTTACAATTAGTGCCATGTAATTAAAAATTTAAATTATTTTTATTGCAAGAGAAGAAAAGAGCAGTTTTTATATCCGTCAAAGAGATATTTTGAATTCGTTTTACCATTAAAATTCAGCGAATTATAATACGTTTTATGCTGCTACATACCTTATCGTTCCGCATTTACTGTGAAGCATTTACTGTGATGAACGAGGAAATCCCCTCCTAACTGAAGATGTACACGAAGAGTCGAGACCCCCGTATGGCACCATGGCACTCATTGTATCCCTCCTCGAAATACCTGCGTGTCTAGAGTATCTAGGCGTCTAGACAGAGGAGCACTCGCTATAAAAGCCTCGAATGTCATGATGAATTCGTCAGAAGAGTGACGAACCGTAAAAAAAGACGGCAGTCGTTGCCATCTTTTTCACATACGATGGGCCACACGGTTCCCTTTCGAGGAAACATGCAGTTTATTCTGGTCAGTGTTCATCTCTCGCCGTGCTTTCATTTTTTCATATCTTAACCGTGTGTCAGTGCGCCTGTGATATATGTGAGATTTTTCGAACGGGAAGTGACGACGTTATCCGTATATAACATCGTGGAGCATTTGTTCGTAGGTCGATTTAGATTCTGCCGGTGAACATATCGAGCGGTGCCATGCATGATACATTTTGTGCGCGTTTTGTCCCTTTGGCTATATAGCTCGATCAACTGAAATATATTTAATTCATTAAATATATAAAATTATTTATTTTTTCAATAAAAAATGAAGATATTTATTAAATTTTTGTCTCGCTCTCGTTGCTTTTATTTTTTGATATTATATTTAATAATATTAACATTTTTCTAATATTATATATTGCGTAATTTTATATAAGATAAAAGTTGATTTCCTTTTTTTTATAGATTTATAGAATATAAATAATATATATATATAATATTATAGATAAAAATGATTTACAATGCATTATTTTAAATGTATACTAATTAAGAAACAAGCGATCTTTAGATTAATGACGAAGACATTACATTATATAAAATTATATAAAATTAATATCAAATTACTATCTCTGCAGAAAATTCTTTATTTTATAAAAATAATGTTTACTGACAATTCTATTTCATTTTTACATTAGTGGTAAAGAATAATACATGATATTGACACGATGACTTTGAAGTATGAAACAGTAGCGTTGCACTAATGTAGATGATCATAAATGAGCCGGTAAATCACTGCAATTTTCTAACGGCAATTGCTATAAGCGAGCATTCTCGTCACTTTTCACTCGCCGCGAAATGGAAAGTCGTGCAAGTAGGAGGCACACTTGAATATATATTATGGGATTACATTAAATGTCATGTGTAAAATTTGACAGAATCGATGCAATGGAAGTTAGTGAAAAAATAGTAAAATCAAAGTCTCATCAATATTTTACATTTTTATGAACGAATCTACATTTAGAATGCTCTATTATCGTCTAATATCTTTATATTTTTTGTAACAGCATGACATATTGATGCTGTGATGCTGACAATGAGATATCTTATTCGTATGTATATCTAGAATTGTGATAATATTTTGAACAATAATTCAAGATGGCCTTCTTCAGATAATGTAGTACGAATAATATGACAGATTTTTAAAAGCCATATTTTTATTTTTTTTTTAAAGTTAAACATATACATTTTATTTATTACAAAATAAAACTCAAATGTGTAATATTTTAAATCTCGTTATTTAAAGATATCTCATTGTCATTATTTAATCAAAACAACTATATACACATAATTTTTATTTGAATTCTCTCACAGAAAACCGGAAATATCTATAGCGTATTATTAGCTAGATAGAACGATAATAATAAAACAAATTAATCATCAGGTAATTTTCACTTGTCAATGTCGATATAAAACAGAATCATGTAGGAGTATAAAGTAATCGTGTAAAGTCGTATTAAAATGAAAGTAAGCCGAGGCCATTATTAGTATGTAGATAATATGCAAACAATTATTATTGTTATGTTAATTTGAGAAGAGGTAAATTTATTTAATCAGTATAATGATGTGTAATTACTGAAATTTCTGTTGGTGTTACTGCAATACCCGGCGTAACGGAAGAAAGCGTTTCCGCAGAATCTCGAGACTTTTGATATCGCGATTGATTTGAATATATTAAAATGTTTGAATAATATTCTAAATATGATGATAACGCGAATATCGTTAATTCATAAACAATCAAATACCTAAGCACTCAACTGCGCTAATAATTATGGCTATAGTCTTTTCAGAGACTTAATGTGAATTATTTTTTATTTATAAATTGTTTGATTTATCCGAAACTGATCTCTTTTGTAGAACAAAAATGTCGAATAAAGTTATTACATTTGTCGCAATCTTCTGTAATTTTTTATATTAAATATCTTTGTAATTTATTTTTAAATTACAAATTTAATGAAGTGTTAAATTCTCTTGAAATTTAATATACTTTTATTGCAGCGCGCTTTGAAGTTTAGTTCTTCTTATTTTTGATTGTTTATCATTTAAAATCACGATTACAAAATTACAATCTTTCGATACTTATATTAAGAGAAAAAGATTTGACTCTAAAAATATACCAAAACAAAATCCGTAGATTAATAAGGTAGGTCTGTAACACATCTAAATATATCTAAATTGCAAATAGTCTAACGGTTCCAAATGATTCTCGTAAAAGAGAAAGAGACAGAGAGAGAGAGAGAAGTAGGACATCTAAAATACGATATGAAAATAAACATCACATCGCCGCAAGGTTGGCTACCACGACAGGCACCGCCTAAGGGTAATACTCCACGAAAAAAAAGAATTTTGATGGGGCCCACTTTCCAGTCGGTACAAATTTCACGGTCCCCCGATGACCCCTTCTGGAAGCATGAAGAAAAGGAGTCGGAGGGGGAAAGGGGTCGACCTAATTCGCGCCGGTGTTTACGTCGTCCGCGCGACCAATACTTTCGTTTTTGAGAGACGCGTTTGTAAGCCGTTGAGTGCGTAGAAATTCGCAGATTTCCGTCACTCAGAAGATCAACTTGTTAGCGAAAAGCCGGCGAGAAATTGATGGCCGGCGATCGTGCGAACGCGATAATTATAAAGCCGCGCAATTCACTTGAGAAAAAAAAAGCGATTAATGCGGCGAGGGTGTCTTTTTTTCGCATGGTTAATCGCATAATTAGCGTTCATCTGCGGTCTTTTATATGTAGATAGATATGTTCGATAAGATAACAATCATTTTAAAAAATTTAGATTGTAGATAATCATCATCATTATTATTATTCTATTGTTACTTGATAATAAATTGGATTATTTATTATACAAAAATATTTGCAAAACTAATAAAAAAATTCTTTCAGACAATATTGTATGGCCTCCTTGTTATCTCCGCGTTTGGAGACCCGATTAGAACAAAGAGAGAGTGAGTATATAAATAATTAGACACCTATATAAAATGTTTTTAAAGATGTAATTTTTTATATGATTATATATAAAAAATAGATAAAGTAAATTAATAATGTAAACTGTTAAATGTGTTATAAAACTAATGGTATAGATTAATATTGATTGTTTTTACTTAAAAAATGAAAAGCGATTAGAACAGTTTTTAAAAAAAGCGAGTAATAAAATATTTTCTTCTTTCCTTCTTTCAATATAACATGATATAAAATATATAAATATTGTTTATACAATTAGATTTATGGTTATTAAAAATTTGCTATTTAAATGCATGCAATATGCTTTTATCTCAATAATGCTTTATTGAGAAAATATTTATAGAATAAAACTTTTTCACATGTATATATACCGTCATCTTCAAAAATTCCTCAATTCATATAAAAATGTTTAATATTTAGTGAGATTAAAAAGCATTTTATCGCGATTAAATTACGACGGGTTATAACACCGTGTACAACTTAATCTCTTCCACTCTAACAAGAGAAATACTGTAGGCCACCCGTAAGCTCGCAGTATGGCGCACCACCAGCAACATCCTACGGATTACCGAACGTAGGACCGTCCGATTCTTATGGTCCACCAGCAAAATCTTACGGTGCACCGTCTGATTCGTATGGAGCACCACCTCCGCCACCATCGTCGTCTTATGGTGCGCCACCATCGTCATCGTATGGCGTGCCATCCGCGCCTTCGTCGTCTTACGGTGCACCATCCGCGCCTTCATCGTCTTACGGTGCACCATCCGCACCTTCATCGTCTTATGGTGCGCCTTCTCAGAGTTATGGCGCACCGTCCGGTGATCATGGCGGTTCCTTCGGCGACGCAGGATCCTACGGCGGTGATCATAGCGGAGGATCCTTCGGCGGTGATCACGGCGGAGGATCCTTTGGCGGTGATCATGGCGGAGGATCCTTTGGTGGTGATCATGGTGGAGGATCCTTTGGCGGTGATCATGGCGGAGGATCCTTTGGCGGTGATCACAGCGGAGGATCCTTTGGCGGTGATCATGGTGGAGGATCCTTTGGCGGTGATCATGGTGGAGGATCCTTTGGCGGTGGTCATGGATCTTTCGGTGATGATCATGGAGGAGGAGGAGGAGGAGGGGGAGGAGGAGGTGATTCATTTGGTGATCATCATGGATCGAGCGGTTACGGCGGTAGTAGCGATTTCGGATCATCTTCCGGATCCTACGGACCGCCTTCGGACTCGTATGGACCACCGGCACATGATCAGCCAAAAGGTGTATGGAAAAAAAAATTGGTATGGAAACCCGAATGGAAACAGATCTGGAAAACAGAATCTAAAATGACTTGGAAGCAAGTATGGAAAAAAGTGCAGGTGCCGGTTTGGAAGGAAATTCAAGTGCCTGCCTGGAAGGAAATTAAAGTACCTGCCTGGAAGAAGGTCCAGAAACCCGTTTGGAAAGAGATACAAGTACCAATTTGGAAAGAAGTCCAAGTGCCAGCTTGGAAAAAAGTCTGGAAACCTGTTTGGAAGGAAGTCCAGGTTCCTGTATGGAAGGAAGTCCAAGTACCTGATTGGAAAAAGATCTGGGTGCCGGAATGGGTTAAGGTCGGCATACCGGGCGAGCAGTACGTGGGTAAAGACCAGCACGGCTGGCAGTATACCAGTCATGGTCTCTGGAAGAAGAAATTGATATGGAAGCCGGTTTGGAAAAAGATCTGGAGAACGGAAAAGAAGCAAATATGGGTGAGTGATAAGAAACTGGAATGGAAGGCCGAGTGGAAGCAAATCTGGAAAACGGAAAAAAAGCAAGCCTGGGCGACGGATAAGAAGCTGATCTGGCAGGAGGAGTCAGTGCAAGTGTGGGTACCACAGAAGAAACAGATCTGGGTCACTCAAAAGAAACAGGTGTGGAAAGACGAATGGAAAAGCAAGTGGGTTCCGGTTTGGAAAGACGTGCAGGTGCCGGCTTGGAAGAAGATCTGGAAGCCCGTCTGGGAGAAAGTATGGGTTCCGATTGAACCCCACCACGATGAAGGTCATCATGGTTACAAGTAGAGGGTCATGTTCCATCGGCTCAATCTTCTCTTTGACTATCTCGCGATGCGCAGAGATCAAAAGGTCGACTCGGAAAATTATCTGGAAATTGTCGATGCCAAGAAAGTCGGTCAAACTTTATAGTCTTGTGATAATGGATTATACTTGCCGATAGACACATATATTTCAAGGAGAGAAGGAGAGGGCTCACCAATAAATTCATACGACAAGGGGAAAAGTGAAGCCTGCAGTTAACAAGTTAGAAAGCATCATGATGCGCGATGAAATACGAACGAAAATAAATAGTAAAAATTTTCAATCGATTATCTCGATGATAAAGCGGCGGAATCGCATATCTTTCAATTTTATGTAAAATATCGCACGAAAAATGAAAATAATCGTCGAGTAATCATCGAAATATTATTGTAGCAGATATGAAAATATTATTTAAAAATATTATCTATTTAAAAAAAAAGCAAGGCATATACTAATAACCAATCTTTATCAAATAAATTTATAGCGATATAATAAAATTTAAAAAATCAGATATTTTATTAAATTAAGTTTTAAAACGAATCGTCATAAAAAATAGTTATGTTATCAATTATTTATCGTGAAGAACTATTTGTGCAATTTTGATATATCATTTACATTGGAAAAAATATTTATATCTTAAGATAATTAGTTTTGTTTTATTTCAGTAATTCAATCTCAAATTAAATCACAGGGAATAAGTTACAGGGAGAGTAATATTTTTTTCTTGTCCACTTTTTTCAGAGTGGATCATCTACAGCAAATAGTATATAATATATACTATATACTATATACTATATATATATATGTAGTATTGTTCAATATTTTATGTCTATAGATGAGGCTTCTTAACTACGTGCATATATTAATATTATATGTAATTAATTCGTCAATTTGTAAATATTGTTTGATTACTGGAATGCATGCATGTTTTAATACTTTTTATACGTTAATAAATATTATTTTTATGCTATCCCATAGGTTAATATAATTTCCATGTTTCTATGATTATTCCTTTTCGTTGTCTGAAACATTCAAATCAATTCTTTAAAACGAAGAGTCTATGAAAACATTACGGAAATGTAATAATTTCTTTTGGCAATTTAAACATGTAGCAATTTATTTTTATTTATTTATATAGTTAAAATAATCTAAATATTTTATTTTAAAAAACTATTTTTTATATAAAGAGTCCAGATAAACTCAATAACATAACATGTAAAATATCGCACGAAAAATGAAAATAATCGTCGAGTAATCATCGAAATATTATTGTAGCAGATATGAAAATATTATTTAAAAATATTATCTATTTAAAAAAAAAGCAAGGCATATACTAATAACCAATCTTTATCAAATAAATTTATAGCGATATAATAAAATTTAAAAAATCAGATATTTTATTAAATTAAGTTTTAAAACGAATCGTCATAAAAAATAGTTATGTTATCAATTATTTATCGTGAAGAACTATTTGTGCAATTTTGATATATCATTTACATTGGAAAAAATATTTATATCTTAAGATAATTAGTTTTGTTTTATTTCAGTAATTCAATCTCAAATTAAATCACAGGGAATAAGTTACAGGGAGAGTAATATTTTTTTCTTGTCCACTTTTTTCAGAGTGGATCATCTACAGCAAATAGTATATAATATATACTATATACTATATACTAACTGCAATGCGATACGCATATATAAAAGTAAAAAGAAAAGAAACCTGGAAAGGTTGTAATAAATGATGAGAGCTTTCTCAACAATTTCACTTAGAAACAATCATATAAACCTTTGCCAAAAAAAGAACTCTCATTTTCGGCGATCTAGCAAAAGTATAGTCATCTAATAAAAAGTAAAAGCGACAGGAGTTTTTTATAGCGGAGTTATACCGAGAGACAATGTCGAAATCAGTGGTACGGAGATGCGTACGGTTCTCGCAGGTGATCTTACCTTCCTCATTACCTCGACCTTAATTACAAACGTTCCGGCAGTCTCTCTTCCTTCCTCATCGGGGCATAAACTCGCTTTCGTGCCTTTCGCCCGCAGCTGCCGGCAAAAGCCTCGAGCGGATTCTCACAAGCCGGGCTCTCCATTAGCATATAATGACGCGAATGTTAAGCTTGAGGAAAAGCTCTGGTTAACAGATTTATAAGATCTTGTCCGGAGAGTGAAAGTACTCGTGCGAGTTGGACCAACGAACGGGTATATATCGCGCGGAGATTACACCACGTATAGCAGACCACGTCTACGATACATCGACGCACAAAAGGATATAAATTGACGTGCCGAGAGAGAGAGAGAGAGAGAGAGAGAGAGACAAACGGAACATAAATCTTTTTCAACATATTTTTCTAGAAAACATCGAAACATCTCACACTTGTAACACATGAATTAAAAAAAAGAAGCTAGATAGCGTCAAAAATATATTCTTCGATAAGTCGGATAATAAATTCTAAACTTGGTAAATTCTTCACGATATCCAATCGATTATACGCTGATCATGCTAGAGTAACAGAGCATAAATCAGTCGCCAACGATGGGAACAGAATTGAATTGTAAATTTGTCGATAAATGCAGGAAGCGACAATCTTTTAATTAAAATTCTTCGCGGCTCATAAAATGACAATGATCCGCCGCCGCATTAACAACCCGTTTCATACTTTGTAAAACCTCCGAGAAGACTTATATCGTTTTAATAGACTCATAAACTCGATTACATGAAAAGCTATGTATCTGCATTAATTTTTGCGTGCGGGCGCATAGTAAATCAAATTAATATGTCAAGAGATGCAGCAGCATCTCGTGCCCTTCTAATCAGGACGACCCAATGGAAACAGTTACACCTGAATAATTTACTTTAAAAGGCATCTCGTCGACCTCGATATATTGACCTTGACCCTGTTTTTAATTCGCGCGCTTCTGGTATTACATTAGTACTTATTAATAATGCAAATGAAATTATAATTCTATTTATAAAATATGACATAAATCAAACGCTTTCGCGCGCGCGTAACAGATAATTACGAAGCATGCCTATACCCATGTCCACATCTGCGAGAAGTATCTGATCGCGCGTTTGGAAAGTGAAATTCGTTCGAATCTGCGATCGGCGAAGCGTTATTCTAGGTGAAATTACACGCCTAATGATCAATGTTGTAAGCGATTATTACCGCGTATGATTCTGTCATTCGTAATAACTAAAGAGTCCAGATAAACTCAATAACATAACGCGCTAATTACATTTAATTTGTCAAGTTTTATTAGTAAAAAATACGTATAAATTTTTATTTTAGATAAAGCTTTTTTTAATTAGTACAATTATAGTAAAATAAAGTAATAAATTTAGTATATATAAATATATCTATTTCGTTTACAAAAAATTAAATAAAAATATGTCACGTTTTTTTAAGCATAATAAACTGTATAACTTATCGTTTTTGAAAATAAAATTAATATTATGAAATATTACTTAATTTTACGAATTATGAAATATGTAATATTCTAGAAATATTAAGTATAGTATCAATATTTTATTTAAGATATATATCATGTAATAAGTTTCCATAAGTATTAATTATGTTTATAAATCATCATAGCTTTTTTGGAAAGAGTTGATTAATTTGAATTGATGTTCTTTTCATCTGTATATAATAAATCTGGCATAAATTTCAGATTGCCGTAGAACGCAAAGAGCAGAGGCGAAATTTATTCTTTATAATTGAAATGATGTATTATATAAATTCTTACATTTTCTGATAATTTGCGTCAGATCTAATATATAGCTTAAGATTTTTTTTTTAAATCTAACTTTGCAAAATAATTTTTAAGGATGACTGCGAGACACGATCATCGATCGTAGTGATTGCGCTTTTGAAAGCGTCTATTCGTGTTTTCCGGGACATTTATCGAGATGTCGTGAATGTGACTCGTTCGTGCAACCATTAATTCGCATTAGATGAAAGTACGATGACTTTCATACGAAGATGCGCTGTGCAACATTGGGAAGGAAAACAGAGAGATTATGGTGAGGGGGAAGAGGGAAGAGAGACAACGATGCTTTCTATGGATAAGACGAGAATTGAGCGAGCAAGCGTGTCTCAGGGTCTTCAGGGTCGCGAGACGAACTCATGACCTTTACTTTCTCCATGATCGTGCCGCAACAAGTGTGGGGGCGATACGTGAAGCTGCAAAAAAAAAAGATATATAATTAGAATGGAAGGGAAGACACCGACCGGAAGTCATACGGCTGGTAAATCTCCCATGGCAGTTTAACGAGGATTTGTGCAAACTCGAAAGCTATTTGATCTTTTTCAACATATTTTTCTAGAAAACATCGAAACATCTCACACTTGTAACACATGAATTAAAAAAAAGAAGCTAGATAGCGTCAAAAATATATTCTTCGATAAGTCGGATAATAAATTCTAAACTTGGTAAATTCTTCACGATATCCAATCGATTATACGCTGATCATGCTAGAGTAACAGAGCATAAATCAGTCGCCAACGATTGCGAGTCGCGAACAGAGGGCGATACGTGAAGCTGCAAAAAAAAAAAGATATATAATTAGAATGGAAGGGAAGACACCGACCGGAAGTCATACGGCTGGTAAATCTCCCATGGCAGTTTAACGAGGATTTGTGCAAACTCGAAAGCTATTTGAAAGAGATGCCAAAAGTACTTTCGATTCAGATAAAAGATAATCAATCAATTGGTTACGCTTTTCTCTTCCGGTAGCTTTCGATTTTTAGATCGCCCCAGATTATTCGTTGAGAAATTATAGGCAATATACAATCATTATTTTGGCAATGTAATTTAGCAATTATTTTCAGTTATTTTTTTTTTGCAACAAACAATACAAGAGACTGCGATAAATTCTTAGTTTTCAAATTATGAATATTATTAACAATAAGCATAAGAGACCAAAAATAAATTTTCGTATAGAAATATTTCTATTGTGTTCAAGTTAAATTAAATTTAAAATAATAAATCTTAAATTATATTTAAATTATTATATATAAATTTTAAATTGTATAATTATAAAAAAATACTGCAATGCGATACGCATATATAAAAGTAAAAAGAAAAGAAACCTGGAAAGGTTGTAATAAATGATGAGAGCTTTCTCAACAATTTCACTTAGAAACAATCATATAAACCTTTGCCAAAAAAAGAACTCTCATTTTCGGCGATCTAGCAAAAGTATAGTCATCTAATAAAAAGTAAAAGCGACAGGAGTTTTTTATAGCGGAGTTATACCGAGAGACAATGTCGAAATCAGTGGTACGGAGATGCGTACGGTTCTCGCAGGTGATCTTACCTTCCTCATTACCTCGACCTTAATTACAAACGTTCCGGCAGTCTCTCTTCCTTCCTCATCGGGGCATAAACTCGCTTTCGTGCCTTTCGCCCGCAGCTGCCGGCAAAAGCCTCGAGCGGATTCTCACAAGCCGGGCTCTCCATTAGCATATAATGACGCGAATGTTAAGCTTGAGGAAAAGCTCTGGTTAACAGATTTATAAGATCTTGTCCGGAGAGTGAAAGTACTCGTGCGAGTTGGACCAACGAACGGGTATATATCGCGCGGAGATTACACCACGTATAGCAGACCACGTCTACGATACATCGACGCACAAAAGGATATAAATTGACGTGCCGAGAGAGAGAGAGAGAGAGAGAGAGAGAGACGGAACATAAATCTTTTTCAACATATTTTTCTAGAAAACATCAAAACATCTCACACTTGTAACACATGAATTAAAAAAAAGAAGCTAGATAGCGTCAAAAATATATTCTTCGATAAGTCGGATAATAAATTCTAAACTTGGTAAATTCTTCACGATATCCAATCGATTATACGCTGATCATGCTAGAGTAACAGAGCATAAATCAGTCGCCAACGATTGCGAGTCGCGAACAGAATTGAATTGTAAATTTGTCGATAAATGCAGGAAGCGACAATCTTTTAATTAAAATTCTTCACGGCTCATAAAATGACAATGATCCGCCGCATTAACAACCCGTTTCATACTTTGTAAGACCTCCGAGAAGACTTATATCGTTTTAATAGACTCATAAACTCGATTACATGAAAAGCTATGTATCTGCATTAATTTTTGCGTGCGGGCGCATAGTAAATCAAATTAATATGTCAAGAGATGCAGCAGCATCTCGTGCCCTTCTAATCAGGACGACCCAATGGAAACAGTTACACCTGAATAATTTACTTTAAAAGGCATCTCGTCGACCTCGATATATTGACCTTGACCCTGTTTTTAATTCGCGCGCTTCTGGTATTACATTAGTACTTATTAATAATGCAAATGAAATTATAATTCTATTTATAAATATATATATATAATGGAAAGTAAGATAAAAAACAGAGTAATCTCCTGCCTACTTAACTCAAAAATGTGTCACTGAATTTTACTTACTTGTATTCTTAGCGCTTTAATTGATGCGCAAAAAGCTACACTTCATGGATCGGTCGAGTAAACACTTACACAGATTTCACCTAGATAGGGCACATCGCTGATCACAGTGTCAGGACAAGTTTCACTTTCGAATCAAGCTTGTCTCGAATGCATCGCTTGAGCGAGCGATGCACCCATATAACTCTCTACTCATCCGTTAAGTACCCGGAAGGTCGTTTGCGGGTCGAAAACTGCTTTTGCGGCACGTTTCTCTGTTTTATCAGAGGACAAGACCGCGAATCTTCGCGCAATGCGACACAGGTGCATTTAACTTCGTTTTGTGTTTTCAATCAGGATACTTTTTCCTGAATTGTCATGAATAAAAAAAAAACAAATCCCCTAAATTTACATCCATATTAATGACATTTACAAGTGTATAGATAAAAATTATAATTAAACTATTTAAATTATTATATATAATGCAATTATTTTATATAATCGATACACAATTGCAATAGAATCGTTCCACGATTCTGTATATATTCATTCCTGATAGAAAATCATTGTGATAGAGACTGATGTTATTTATCTTCTGTTTCACGATGACTATTCCGTCGAACGGAGATATTATTTATTGTGAGTAGAGCGAAAATATGTACGTTTATCATTCCAGCTTGACTACTTTCCCGTCATGGAAACGCGCAACGCATCGCGGCGGATTGCGGAGAGATTGTACGAGATAGATGCACAAAGTGGAAAACAGAAATTCCGATAAAGTTAGCGGAAAAATTGACAATGTCAATGCAACGAAGCGTCGACTTCGAGAGTAAATCTCTTCCAGAATAAAGTTATACACGAATCTCTATAAAATGTTTTTTTCTTTCTCTTTTTCTTTTTAGAAAAAAACAAATAATCAAAAAAACTGCAGTGAGAATAAATACATTTTATATACATATAAATGTATATTCTATAAAAAATATAGAATTTAAATTATAATAATTCGCGATATCTGAAGAACAAATTTAAAAAAAAAAATTGTAAGATTAGCAGTTGAAAATTTATTTGTCACTGAAAATTAAAATCACGAGTTGTGAAACGCGCTTTCTATACACTCTTCCCATTACTTTTAATCGCGATGCTTGTCGTGCAACGTTCAGATGCACAAATTTATCGAGTGAATACAGATAGAATTCAAAAAAGTAGATAATTTATGTTACGTTTCTCTCTAAAGAGCAAATATAATAAAGTGATGTCATTTTTATTGATGCATTTAGTTGACGAAATGAATACGCGCAATATAAAAATATAATTAAATGCGCATCTATAAATCGAATATCCGGTCATTTCGATGTGGGCGTAGGAAAGTTTGGTGAAAGCGCTAAACGACCGACTATGTGTGATGTAAGAGCCTGGACTCTGCATTTCGGTATGAATACGTCTAGTCACTACCGTATGCTCCATTTTACAGATCGAGCTAAACTTTCCATATATTTAACGAGTTATATTGATATAATCGCAAAAAATTTCCATATTTATCTCGATCTAATTACCATATTTTATTTATCACGATCTATATATAATCGTATCATTGCATTTAAAGTTCTCTATTGTATTATTATATATTGATTTTTAAATTAAAAATAATTGAGTATAGAAAAAAATATAATTGAGAATTTTAATGATATAATTTCTTTAGTTTATATATACAAGATGTTAATGTTTCTATTCATCTATTGATTCAGCTATTGATTTTTTCCTTTACGTATGTATTGTTTGTAATAAAAAAAAAAACATTTTACTACGATAATTACATTTACTTAGACAATCGATAAAAACAGTTCAAAGAGAAAGAATTTTAAAAGTATTGCTAATGAAAGTATTTTCATGCTTTTTGTGTTCGTAGTAAAATATATTTTCGACGACAAATTAAAAGTCACCGTAGAGCGTAAAGTGTAAAAATTGATTGCGTGACTCTCTATGATTGCATCGAGAACTTGCTTTAAAAACCGGAACAAATTGTAAAGCGTAAATCGGAATTATCTCGTAAAATTTACAGGTCTCTTTCTTTTAGTTTCTAAAGCAAACTCTCCTCCCAAATTGCATGTGTACATTGTATCGTATATATCCCGTATATATAAACGTCACGTTTTCCTTTCATGATCAGTAAAGATACATTTGCATTAGAATTCTGCATCGATTCTTTGCAAATAATTCGCGAGCATAATCGTGTAAATATAAGCAGACCCACGATATACAGATCTCTAGATTACTTTATTAAAAAAGGTTAATTAGTACGCGAAGAACTGGCAATGGCCTGGGAATATGCTTGACATCTTAAATAATAATGAGTAAAGACCAACAACGATTACGTAACGAGCCTTTTTATAGTCAGGACGCAATCCAGGACGCAACGACATTATGAATGCTCGACGTCATTCGCGGTTCCGGAGTCATCGCAATATGACTTTTCACTCACGAAATATATGTCGTTGTCCGTCGCAAAAATAATTCTTTCCTTAGTTTCGAAAGCAATCAAAATAACATTAGCATTTAAAGCGACAAAATAAAAATAATTTGTGCATTTATTTTCTTGAGTGCTTTAGAACTAGTAATATATAGTTACAGATAAATAATGTAATTAAATTAAAAAAAGAACTTTCCACGTAAAAATTTAGAAGTGTTAGTTTTTTTAATATTTTGAAGTTCAAGCATATATTTCTCATATTATAGTCTCGAAAGATTAAATTTCTTCTATAAACTTTCTTAAAGTGGTATTTGCAGTAGATTGCTATTAAATATTTGAAATGCGTAGATACGTAAATCGATAAGAGCGGCGGAAATATAATGGCCAAGCCGTAAAAGTTAACGGCGGAAAAATAACAGGAATTTAAGAAAGACTGTAAAGGCATAAACGCGCTATAAAAACTTGTTCTCAGTAAGGGATGGGGATTTTGGTTGATTTAGGTCCCACAAGTCGAATCTAAAGAATCGCGGAAACGTGTGAAAATTATTAAAACCGCGATTGAAATGCAGTAAAAACTGTTACTTTGAACTTTTGTCAGATAAAACGCGAAAAGCTGGTATCAAAAACATATATATATATATCTCCTTAAACAAATGTTTATCCAAACCTTAATAAGTACGTGAAAAATACGAATATTGTAATGAGCCGTCGGCGTCGGTCTCTTTTAACTCTGAGAGAATCGTCTCTTTATAGCGTACGACTTCGTTTTCGGATGTTTGAATGATGTTTGAAAAATATTCTAAGAGGTGCGAGTGCAAATAGAAAACTGGGGCCGTTAGAAATTTCCGTTGACATTTATACAGCTTGACATATCGGTCGATACGTAAATTTTTTTTTTTTTGCTTTCTAAATGTTTCGGCCCTCGAGATATCTGGAGATACCGAAGTCTTTCGAAACGTCCTCTCGATATTTGTCATACCTGTACTTACAAGCAAGCGCGATGGAATCTCATATTTTTCGTATCGTCTTTTATATAATGCGACGAACTAAAAATTGAAAATAATTTAAGAGCTTAAGAAAATTTCGAGATTTCCCCCCCAAAAACGTCTAATTTCTTCTGCAACACATTTTCGAATCGGTTCCTTTCAAGACGAATACATCCATGAGCGAGAAAATGCGTGTCCGATTGAAAGCGGATGTCCGAGCATATCATTGGATATGGACGTCTCCGATGCTTTTGTCGGGATTGCTTTCTTGTCTGGATTCAAAAATCTGGAGCAGCAGCCACTATGAGTAACCGTGAGTGATTTAAAACCGGAATAGCGAGAATACCTCGCGGCTTTAAGTTGCGAGAATGTCGAGGTGCGCGAACTCTCTAGCGGTCGGCGCGAACGAAGGGGAATTCACTTTCATCCGTGAGTCTCGGTCTCGACGTGTTAAACGGATATACGCACTTAACGCGGTTTAACGCCTATCGTTAACCGCTACTTATAAACCTCCGCCTTCGGGAATTCTCGATGTTGCTTTTGACAGATATCCAGAGATTCTCGAGATAGAGTTTTTCCGGAAATGAGAGAAGCGTTTTGCCGGCGCTTTCGCTTATCATTGTAGCATCTCGCGAATGGACCTCGTTTAGTTTAATTTTCCCGGCTCGGTCGTGGCTCGATGAACATTGTCTTGACGATAAAAAGCGGAAAATACACTTTGCGTCGTATGTGCGCGAAACCGTTTCTGCACGGTACGCTTTCTCCGAACGTCATTGGAAGAAGAAGTCATAAATTTCGCGCAAAACTCGATCAAGTACAGCCAAGGGCTTCAATAAAGGCCCGTTACTTTATTACAGGATCTGACTGCCGACTCTTCTTTATATGGCTGCGATTCCATATGGCTCTCCTTGATCTGTTTCAATCGATCTTATTGTGATTGATAACATCAATATTTATTTCATTTCGCTTATTGTATCGCTTTGAGAATTGCCAAATTATACGATTACAATTACAGTTGCATAAGATTTTTTAAATTCTTTTTTTTTTAAACTAATATTTGATATTAACGTCTCAGTGGCTCTTTATATTTTTGGATATATAAAAAGGAAAATATTATATATACAAAAATTTTATTTTTTTTTTATACGGGAATAATTAATATGATTGAAACTTGCTTTGGAATCACAGATTCTAATCATCTACGATTTGAAAGTATGCGTTAAATGTGTATTTAAAATTATACAGAAATGCATATACTATATTGAAAAATTTGCTGCGTTTCTTTTTATATATCCATTTCTATTAAAAATATTGTTATCTATATCAACAGGAAATGGACAGGGCAACTTTCGCGGCAGATCTGTAATAAGACACAGCGATCAAGGCAGGTTTTAAAAAATGAGAAACTTGATTACAAGAAATGCAATCGAACGTGATATTTTCGCTCCTTCTTCCTCTCTCTCTCTCTCTCTGTCCGGCAATCGGTATAATCCAGATCGCAATCGGTGTGTAACCTTGTTGCGCGTAACCTTGTGAGAGCTTGAACTTCACCGTTGAGACGGACGCGCTCGAATAAAAGGGGGTTCGTTCCGATCGTTCTGCTCGCTCGCTTCTGCCGGATCGAGCTCTCGATCACTTTCTCCGACGATACGGCTCAACGGAGGTCCGGTCGCGTACCGGAAGTGGGGGCGAAGGAGAGAAAGAACGCAGGAGGAGGTAGAGGAGGAGGAGGGAGGGTTTTATCCACGGGGGGCCCGGGGCCCAAATCGACGACGGCGCTTCTACCACCTCCCCCCCCCCCGGATGGAATTCCCCCGATTTCCACCACTTCGTACCGGAAGAGGAGAGAAAGAACGCAGGAGGAGGTAGAGGAGGAGGAGGGAGGGTTTTATCCACGGGGGGCCCGGGGCCCAAATCGACGAAATCGACGCTACCACCTCCCCCCCCCCCGGATGGAATTCCCCCGATTTCCACCACTTAAGGCCGATGGACCCACCTCCATTGACCACCACCGCGGCTTCCTCGCTGCGAAGCGTCTACCTGTGATATGCCTTCGGGGAGGATACGCGCCTATATAACTACGGCGTTCCGGTGATTGAACGAAGTAAGCTAAGTTTTCCTGCGCCCAGGAAACAGGAGGCACGCGCCCGAGCCCGACGGGCGGCATTGCGAGAAATATGAGGATTCGCCCGGGATGCGCGGTCAGTTGTTGCACCTCATTTTTTCTTTCTTATCACAATTTTTACGATGTAAAGTTTGCCGTGCGTTTCGCGTTCACACAAGAAAAATCCTTCAACTTGTCGTCATCTCGCGCGTCGCGTCGATCTTTCGATTTAAAAAGAAAAAAAAATACAATATTGAATTTTTTTTTTTTTTTT